GGGGGCAAAAAGGAAAAGAGACAAATAAAATCAAGAAATGGTAGGACATATCCTGTCCAAAAAAAAAGCGGAAAAGAAGAAAAGAAAACATACAAAGAAGGAAAAAGAAAACGAAGACAAGAAAGGAAAATGACAGACAGTAAATAAAAGCAAAGAGAAGAAAGAAAAAGAAGAAAAAGGAAAACATGCAAAGAGAAGAAATTTTGGAAAGAAAGAAAAAAAAAAAAAAAAAGAATGACACACAGAAAGAAAGGACACATTAATTTTTATATACATATGAACGAAGATTTGATCCATTGAAAGCAATGTTAGTTTTATTATTGTTTGATTTCAATGTTTTACTTACACTGACACAAATGACAAGGTTTTGGGGTGAAATATGGACCAAAGAATGGAGACCTGGACAAAAAGACAGTAAGTACAAAGAAAAGATATTACCCATCACAAGTTTTTTAAAAAAAAAAGTAGAAAAAAAAAACTTTTTTTCTTCATTATAGTAGAGGGTTTTACAGCGCTCGCAACTGCATAAGGTCATATGAGCGCCAAGGGGTGGGTGTCAACAGAGAATTTTTTACAGGGAACCAGACTTAGACTGCTCACCTCTCTAGCTTCAACAGCACAATGCTTCGACTATCAAGGCACCCCGCAAATAGCAGGTCACAAGAGAGTGACAAACATACAAAAGAAGTAGAGGAAAATGACAATAGTAAGGATCAGGAAAGAAAAAGCAGCAGTTCCCTGTTGTAGATCAGGCACAGTTATGAGCGTGACATGAGTCAGTCCATTTACAATTCTACTATGCTTCAACGAGAAATGTCCCCCCTTTGGGAATGGCCTTAAGACGCTTCAGTCAGTGGCCCTGCCCCGGGGGTGGAAAAAAAAAGGAATGACACACAGAAAGAAAGGACACATTAATTTTAATATACATATGTACTGAGATTTGATCCATTGAAAGCAATGTTATTTTTATTATTGTTTGATTTCAATGTTCTACATACACTGACACAAATGGTAAGGTTTTGAGGTGAAATTTGGAAAAAAGTATGGAGACTAGGACAAAAAGACAGTAAGTACAAAGAAAAGATGACACCCAGCACAACCAAAGAAAAAGTAGAAAAAAAAAACTGACTATGTTGAAGCACCCACTACATCATCTATTACGCACACACACAAAGAAAAGGCTTACAGATAAATAGTCGGAAGAAAACAGTTTTTTAAAAATCTCACCATATGCCTCTGTTTCGAGTCAAAGCCAGACTGCTGCTTCTTCTTCTGTGTGTCGGGGTTCATCACGTCTATGGGCTGGTACTCCTCAAACTTTTTCATGGATAACATTTCTTGATCCATCAGACAGTACTGGAGGTACCTGATCAAACAGAAATTATTTGCGCGTATCAAAACATAATAATATCCCCCAAAGACACGAAAGTAATATACATCCCTCATCAACGCAATTCTCGGTGGTGAGAAGAATAAAGCTGATTTTCAGTTCGTGTATTGTAAGAGGCAACTAAAAGTTCCAAGGAGTGGATTCCGACATAAGTCACCTCGTCCAAGTTGGCCCAGAGATTAACTCTTTGACTACCATGAGCCGATCTATCGGCTCCATAACTTCCTAGTTCATGGCCAAGAGCCAAATTATCGGCTCGCGCTTTTCTTTCCCTTTCACAATTTGACTCAACCTTTCCGTTTCATGTTTTTAACTGCTCTGCTTACCATACATCAGTCAACCAGTGAAGGAATTTGGCGCCTTTTGTGTTTTATTCTGCTGTTTTTTGGCATTTTTTCATGGTTTTTTTACCCACCCTGTGTTGCTCGAATTAGTTTACGCATAGCAACGGCAAAATGGCTGATGACCCATCAGGTTCCTGCCCGTCACAATGTTTTTCTGCTTCAAAAGCCCTGGAAAAGGTTGATGGGGAACTGTCAGTACTTTCCGATAGTGATGTAGGAGGTGATGAAGTTAGACCTGAGTCCGACAGCAGCGACAGCGATGAGAATGAAGATTCGCAGAGAGGGGTGTGTGTGCAGCGTTTTTCTCTCTTTTTTTTTTCATTGTGAGTGATTTCACCAAAAGTGTGACAACTTTGTATATACTTGACCATTGTGCATGAAACTTGGCCCAGTTAGAGACAATTGAATATACTTCAGTATGACTAAGTCATGAAGTGATTGGATTTAGCAGCTATACACTGTGAGAAATGTAAGTTGAAAATGCTTTGTTAATTTTCTTATTTTTTTCACCTTGTGTTCACTTACCTCCCATGTTTGTTTGGATTTATGATTTTTTTCAATTTTTTAAATTAGATTAAAAATATTCTACATTCAATTACCTTCATTTTGGTACATAACATGTCTGACTTCTGGATGGAATTATGCCCATCAGACACAAAAGAAGAACAGGGGTACTTTTGAAATTCTAAGACTAAGAAATGCCTTGGTCACAGCACGGAAAATGCCTTGGTAGCCAAAGAGTTAAGCTTAGGGTTAGAATAGTATCCTTATGCCATAAAACAACATTCCTGCCACAAAAGTGTCAACAATGAAAACATGGAGGGCTTTTGTTGGTGGCCTATACTCCAGAACAAGGTGAGAGAGGATATAGATGATGATGATGATTGTCAACGCAATTTAAACCATTAAGGAAACGGAAAGCTTCAAACCTGCCTGTCACACCCAACCCAGAGCCGGAATAGTAAGATGGAGATACTCTTTGTTTTAGTACAGGTTTTACGGCGCTCGCAACTGCATAAAGTCATAGGAGCACCAGAAGATTAGAGGTGTTACAAGAGAGTAACAAACATAAAAAAGAAGGAGGGAAGATACAGACAATGGACGTTTGATAGGAAAGAAGAAGCAAACCACACCAGAGCACCCACCAACCACCCACTGGAGATACACTATAAAACCAAGTTCCCAACTAAGGATCCCAACACAAAGGGCTTTATTTGTGCATCAGAGAACAGCGTAACTATTACACCACAGACACAGGTCACCCTACTGTACAAAACGTCATTGAAATAACTCATGAAACATCAAAACACAAAATTTTGTAACAGGAGTGTCCCAGGAAGATTAATTATTTCAAAAAGGACAGAAAATGTTGGACCGATGTTAGTCAAGTTTATGATCAAGAGTGCTGCATACACACAACAACTGTTTAAAAAATATTAACACAGGGTTGACTGTTAAACACAAAATTCCTGTTACCATAAAAGGATTTATAATCACCCCCCCCCCCCCTCTTTTTGAAAAATTCTCCTCATTGTAACATAGAATAACATCAAGCTGTTAGCCCAGGATAGGGAAAGGTAGAGAGTGTTTGTCTGTGGCCGTATATCCCGATTCAAGGTGAAACAGATGATGATGATGATGATGATGATGATGATAATGATTCATTCTAAACTCTCATATCTGCTTAACATTAACACAAAGAAATTCTCCAGTCCCCAAGTCTGTGATATTAATGTTGTACTGTATCAGATTTCACTGACCATGTGAGAGCTCCCAGTGCCCTGACCGCTAAGTCATGTGACTCGGCAGCTGTCAGACCGAGCGTGTCATCTGTGGAGGAACAACACACAAAGGGTTAACATCTTTTGATGATTGATTGATTGAGTAGATGTTTTACGGCACTATCGACACAATTTTGGTCAACAGGTTTCACCGCAACAAAATCAGATGTGTTTTAGTAAGAGTTTCGGAGCTCGCAACCGCTCACGGTCACACTATTCTCATTATGCTAAAATGACGGACAGACATTTATAAAAAATGTTTTGTAAATATGGTGAAGACTTATTTCCATTTGTATATATACAATATTAATTTCAGTATTAATATATACAGATTTTAACTTACATCAGCTACGTAAAAGTGTCATTTTAACATATACAGGAAAATATCCTGCCTACTTTGACTGCAAGCAAACAAGCCTACATCACTCTCTGAAAGCTTCAAATAAAAAGACTATCCCAAAAACATCGTAGTTGAAAAAAAAAAGGGACTGAAGCAGGGAATAAAACTTTCAATGAAAATCTAGTAACCTTTCACTTCAGTCTCAAGTATGAGAGAAGATTTTTTGGGACAGTTTTGAAACTGAGTCCTTTTCCAATAATAGTGTAAGAAATGCCCCTCCCACTTTGCACTACAGAGGGCGAGGGATTCACCCCAAGCACTGTAAACACTGTCCTTGTTGAACAAGCTAAGGTCATACAAAGACATTTTTTCTTGGGACGAAAAGTTTATTTACCAGAAGTGCGCTTAATATCCTGTTTATATACTTCCGTAAGTTTTTCTCTATTTTAAGATAAGCATGCACATTCTCAATAACACTTACTTTTAGAAAGCACCAAACACTTTTCAATAACAACATATACTTCTAGAAAGCAAAACAACTTTTAAACAACACACACTTTTAGATCACGGCATATCCTCTTCAATGACAACACATACTTTAAAACAACGACACATACTTTTAGATAACACATATCTTTAAAATAATGACTTAAATCACAATACAAACTTTTTAACAAAAATGTCCACTTTCCGACACACAACACATACTTTTGGATAACATGTTCTGCAGCACTTGTGGCCATTCTGTGCTTCCCTCCTCCCCTTTAAAGTAGTCCTCGTCCGACAGACTTTTCAGCGTTTTCCCGCTGTCCCAGAATTCTGTTCCAGGCGACAGCCCCTCCCGCAGAGCAGACGTCAGATTGGAGTTCAGGATTGTCTGAGTCTTTTGGGACAACTTTCCTCTTTCATACAGCACCTGAACCAGGCCATAAAATATACAACTTTGGGACAATCTGTCCAGGAATTTATATAATCATAAAACAAGCTCAACAATAAGACCATTTACCCTTATACTATAACCCTAGCGTTCCCTTCAACGTGATCTTTATTTCTGAGCAGAAAAAATAAAAATAAATTATAAATAAATATTTTAAGCCAACAAAATAACAGATAATGTTGTCATGGAAACCCACAATCCATACCCTGTCTAATTAGAAAAAAAATAATTGTGTGACATCATGGTGAAATCAGGCGCTCGTCAAAAGAATGAAATCAAGGACACTGATATTTTCCCACCCGCTAGACAATTTTCTCTCTCTTTTTTTGCCTATATGACGTTACACATACATCACACTAATTACCTGGCTCTAACTCTTCTGTATGGAATTTTAGCTACAAGCGCCGCATAGATTCGTATTATGGATTAAAGGATGCACATATTAGTACCATATTTACTAGCTTTACTTTACTGCTTGGCTTGCAAGCGATAAAAAAACATAGATCTTGGCTTGCGGGTGGCCCCGTGCTCTCATAAAACATACCATCGAAATAACTCTAAAAAGGCAAATAAATTAACTTTTTTTTTGGACTTATATTTGCACGTTACGTGAAATTATGAGTCAGACGGGAAGAAATGGGGAATAAGAAGAGTGAGAAAAGTGTCAATCGAAATATGTCAGAGTGTGCTAGACCTAGAACGCACGTCCATTAACACTGAGACAATAGGCTGTTGTCTTGGGTAATAAAACAAGCTGAAAATCAGTGCTGACAGTAGGAATGCATACCCCCTGGCAAAGAAAGGGTTAATGAATAATCCCAAATATTTCAACTTCTATTCATAATAGATGGGTATTTTTTCCCCCAAAAAGCAAAACAAATAAACAACTTTAAGATGATACCAATAACTCAATATTCCCAGAGATAATGAAGAGCGTTTTCCACCCTGTGGTGATGTAATTTATCAGCAAATTTTTATCTCCTCATTCCAACTCTATAAACCCAGTTCTGCATATTATTTTCAAAGTATCACTCTAGTCCTCAAAATGTAACGCAAAAAAGCAGACAAAGCTTTTGTACTGCTTTCTTATTGCGACACGAGATAAGAGATAAACTGTAACAATCCTGAACACTTACCTGTGTCGGTGTGTAGTGGGCCACCAAGGTACGGAATCGGGACAAGTGCCGGTCATCTTCAAACTGACCAATCTGAGAAATTGAAAGACAAATTCAAAGATTACTCTACTGAGAGCATGTCAACTCTCTTAGCGAGACTGCATGAATGAGGGAGAGAGAGAGAGAGAGAGAGAGAGAGAGAGAGAGAGAGAGAGAGAGAGAGAGAGAGAGATGGAGGGGGGGGGGGGGGGGGAAAGAACATTAAAACATTTTTTTGCCCTGGGAATAACATAAATAATATTTGAATATTTGCTATGGAAGCACTTTTACAGCAAACTAACCTAAAAGTTGTGAATCAATTTCTGGCTTCTCCAGGTAGGAAGTACGATATTTACAACAGGCAAGTCAACTTTGATCTTATTCCCTCAGTTCATTCAGAATTTTAAAAAAAAGAACTGGCAATCAGTACAGACTAAATATGCCAATGAACAGTAGTATGCACTAAACAGACTACAAACCTGTATCTTCCCAAAAGATTGAGATGGTAAATTGGAATAAGCAGACCGACCAAGGGCATTCTTATGACTTTATGTAAGCATTCTATTAGAGACAGTACATGAGCGCGCTCAGATGATCTTATGCAGTTGCAAGCACCGTAAAACACTTACGAAAAAAACCACACAAAAAAACCCAGCACATGACTATAACAAAAGCAATTTACTTATAGAGAACTTACATGAAAGGTCCCTATGGATGTGTCGATGAAGCAAACGCCAAAGATGCTCGTATCATCCTGACACTCAGCCTGTGGACGTGAAGAACACAACATATTTCTACACCATGCGATCATTAAAAAATAAATAAATGAAATAACAGAATTCAAATAAATCCATATAACTCTAAAGTAAAGGCCTATGATACATTCCTGCATGTGGTTGAAAGAAGCATCCGATGTAATATTTGATGTGACTATTGAATTATTGTCAGCTAAATTTTTTCCGTAATATCAAATTCTTATGACAGTAATATATAATTTAAATCCTATTTATATCTACATATTACGTTTTCACCATTCTTGAACAGCCCAAAAAAATTTCCCACTACGACAACGAAACACCATCTTATCTTATCTCCATCTTATTATCGAAGTACTGTAAAAGTTGTCAAATACCATGACACCGAGGCTGGTGTAGTCTTCAGTTATGACCGCTCGCTACTGCGGGGACATTGTCACAAAAAAATGGACTCTTGTAATAATAAAAACAAAACTTTAAAAAGTATTTGTTCAATTGTTATGAAGAATAAGACTAATGACAATTTCAGGCTCCCATATGCCCTTAACTATTCAATCCTGGCACATGCCACACCATTTCAAAATACTAAACATAACCCATGTACCTTTCACCAGCTAAGTGATTCGACAACAATTTTTATTTCAGTATCTCATTCTGATTATCCTGAGCCATCAGTATTTACGTCCAGTGAATGAAAGGGAACTTTCAGGTCAAACACTCACCTTTTCACATATAGCCAAAATGTATGTGTTGTTAGCGTCACCGCAGTCTCCATCCATGTGGCTGTAGGTTCGAGTCCCCTGTGTGCTGACTTGACACACTTCCCTCTTCACAACCTTGTCGTACTTGGTCGCTGACCGGCCCACTGTGTCAGGCAAAGATAAGGTATATTACAAATATTGGTACAATTAGTGCAAAACTGTTCAAAGTGATTGGATTCAACTGAAAAAAATATTTCTTTGTACATAGTGCTTATAAATCATCTGAAAACAAGTGCCTCAAAATCAAGTGAAAAAAAAAACTGTTCTTTTTTAAAAGTGCTTATACACCAACTGAAAACAAGGGCCTCTAATTCAAATGAAAAATTTTTTCAACAAGTGCTCTAACCAACTAAAAAACTTTTTTTTCACAGACCCTATCATAGGTTCAATCAAACAACCCATCCTTGCATATTATATGGATACACTCATAAAGTTCACCATAAAAATAAATCAGCTACCACTAAGCTACAAGAAAACCCCAGTGACCAAAGCTAATCCAGAATCTGTCCTCTTGTATCAAACTTGAAGTCTCCACTATGCCACATACTCCTTCGAAAACTAACCCCCAAGGCAAAGATAACTACTAGAAAGTGGTCAGCATAAAAGCAAAGATGGCCGTAACAAAGGAGGAAGCACAGGAGGGGAAGATAGCTGTAACAAAGTGGTTAATACAGAGGTAAAGATGGCAGACCCCTTTCAACACTATTAGGCTATTTAAGAGGCGGGACCTCCGAGTTTTTAACGTCCATCTCTGAAACGACCGAGCGAGATGGGAAATTCATGTTAAGTGCCTTTCCCAAGGACAAAAAGTCCAACCGAGCTAAGGCTCGAACCCCCAAACCTGCAAGCTCAAGATTATGGGTCCGGTAGCCTAACCACTAGGCCACCAAAGCCACCGCACTAGTCTGTTTTACAAGAGCAGCATATAGATACTAACACAAAGGCTAGGATACTGAACGCTCAGAGAAAAGACAAAATGATGGAAGAAAAAAGAAAAGAAAAGAAAACCTAATCAGACCCACATTTCACCCAAACAAAACGTGCAAGTTCCTTCTCAATAGACAAGTCTTTGTGAAGCAGTTGCCAATATTTTCTGTCCTGTTATGACCTTGCTGGCAACTAACTACGTTTTTTTCAGTATAGAGAAGCACGCTGATATGATAAGAGCATTTAGTGCAGGGACATTGTGAGGTAAACAGAAACTACACAGGGCAATAAAAGAAGAAGGACTTACATGGGGACCCTCCAACGACCAGCATTAATTAGGCCAATGTGTACAAGAAAACATCAGTTGATATGTGAGGCATCATGGTGAAACCAGGCACCCATCAAAGTAACGAAATCAAAGAAATCTTTTGGCGGGTGGGCAAATTTTTTTCGAGGAGAGAAAAGGATGATAGATGTTCGACAGGAAAGAAGGAGCAAACCACATCAGAGCACCCGCCAACCACCCAGTAATTGCTTCCACAAAAAGTGTTCGGTATAGAACTCTGCTCTCCGACATCAACACTCACTGTGTTTGCATCTCTCAGCCATCATGTCGGGGGTTTCCGTCTGCTCCACTCTCGCGACCTTGTAACCTTTCTGGATGAGAGCGTCTGCGTAGCGAGTGTAAGCAATCTCAGGAAAACCAGAGTGAGCAAAGTCACCCTGTGAACAAGAAATAATAAAGCTCAACAGGGTGTCCAGGAATGTTTCTTGAAAAAATTTACTTCTTGGGAAAAAAATTTACTACCCAGCAAATCAAGCCACACACCAGCTCGAAAAAAGAAGTTCATTTGCGCCATCTATAACATACATTATTATTACATAATATCATCACCATCCAGAGCCAGATCAGCGATCATGGTTATTACATAATATATAGAACGAAAATAACACAAACAAAGTCCAGTCGACAAAATGGAGGATAGACAGATGATGGCAAGCTTGCTCCATTTAGTTTTAGTAAGGTTTTTACAGCGCTCGTAACTGCATAAGGTCATATGAGCGCCAAGGGGTGGGTATCAACAAAGAAGTCTTAACAGGGAATCAGGCTTACTCTGCTCACCTCTCTAGCTTCAACAGCACAATGTCTGCTTCGACTATCAAGGCACCCCGGAAATAGCAGATCACAAGAGTGTGGCAAACATACAAAAGAAGTAGAGAAAAAACGACGATAGTAAGGATTAGGAAAGAAAAAGCAGCAGTTCCCTGATGCAGTTCAGGCACAGTTATGAGCATGACATTAATGAATCAGCCCATTTAAAATTACAATTCTCCTGTGCATAATAACAAGTTAATGTCCCCCCCCCCCCCAAGGAATGGCCTAAAGACACTTCAGTCAATAGCACCGCCCCATGGGGTGGGGGGCTAAATGATTAAATTCATTTCACAACTACAAACTCTAGATAAAAAGGACTTCAAGTTTAACAAAAAAGAAAGAATTTACACCAAATAAAAAGAAAGAAAAACAAAATTATATTAAAAAATCATACTTCTGAAAAAGTAAAAGAAATAACGTTAAATAAGAAACTAACATACAAAAAGAGATCCTTTCCAATCTAAAAACTTTGCCTTTTTATAAAAGAGACAGATCTTGTGAGCATAACTGGACATGATAAAAACAGCACCAACGAGATCTGACATTTTAAAATTTGGATTTTACAGCACTCTTGACACTAGTAAGTTTTGTTACTACCAGGAAGTACACGTAGAATACAATGACAGGAGGTAAATTAAGATGGCAATATCACTGAACCCCCCCCCCCCCCCCCCCCCCCCCCCCCCAAACCAAAGAAGAATCAAGCCACACAAGAACTCACACAACCAACTCCACCAAACATACGTTAATTAAGCTACTTTTTTTTGGAGGGGGTTCTGTTTGATGTTTTACGGCGGTCACAATTGCATACGGTCATATGAGCACTCAGGTTACAGGTTAACTACTTTAACACCTTCGCGACCACCGACGTACTTATAAGCGAACTGTGCCCGAATGAATCGGACCACCAACGTGTACTTACGTGATGGCAAAACCACTCATTCAAGCCAGTCCAGGTTTATTCAAAATTATCCATGTTTTCCGACTGCTTGTTCAAGCACAGAAGAGTTTCTTTTCCTTTCTAATTCATCGAAGCTGAAGCCAGTTTGAGTTGATAAGAGGGGGGGGGGGGGGGGGGGGGGGATGTCAGATGTCTTCGAAGAAACCAGTATTCACAAGGGATGTGGGCGACCCCTCTGGTCCTGGGGGTAGAATCAGCTGGTGTGGGGCCGGTCCCCAGGGTGTCAAATAATCTATAATCACAAGTTCAGCCCGACAGTCAATTATGACTTTTTGTCTCCTCTTTCTGATTTAAGGGAAAATGTTCCACAAACATAGTAACACTGTAAAGTTACCTGGCGGTCCGATGCGTCGGGTCTGTCAGGGGGCCCCCCGTCCAAGATAGGTGTTGTCTCATCGTGGTCCTGAGTTCGACTGACTACCTCCGTGAGTCTCTCAGGCGATCTCTCTATTTTTCGCGCCCAGCTTTTGACGTCATCCAAGGGCGTGCTACTCCCCTAATTATCTAGTTCCCACAGTAAAGATAAGAGTCATGTCCCTTGACATCACATAACACAACATGACAAACAAACCTTCATGTAAATGAGTCCCAGTTCGGTGACCCCAGCCACAGCGTCCATGTGATACAACTCGTAAAATTTGCCGACCTAGTGGGAAAATTGAAAGTCAGGTTATCGGTTAATTTGGTTTTGTATGAGCTTAACAGCCAGCAGGAAAAGGTGTCAGTAACTGATAGAAAACCAAAAATGCACCTTTAAAATCTCGACGCAAATTTCATTACTAGATTTCTAGAGAGTATAAAAGGAAAATATTTCTTCAACAATTTGGCAAATATACAACAATGATATCTTATTGTGTGTGCCCCAAAAGCTAACAATAGTGCTTTTCTGCTGTTATTCTAGAATCGATTGATCCAGTCATTCTTGTCGTTATCATCGACCCAGGTTATTCCAGAAAATTGCATACAATATGACTTCCCTGGGAGATACAAAAAAAAAGTCTGATAGTGGCTTGTCATTGGTAGCATCTCTATTACCGTGAGTAGAATACAATTTTTAATGAGTGACATATTTTGTACCTAAAGAGTAGGAGCAAACTTTGTTCTGAAATTACTTCTTGAGAAATGAACTAAAACACCGTAAATCAGCGCTAGTAGTGGCATTCATACCAAAGATTTTAGATTGTAGAGGACGCCTACAGTAATACCATATATCATATCACAACAGCAAGCACAAATTTGTGAATGGAACAAAAACTCACTTTGAAAAACAAAACTGTGTCAAAATGGTGAGACTTCAGTTCCCACCATTGCCGCATCGCCTGCAATACAATAAGGACCTCTATGAAACGAGGAAAAAAACAATCGAAAACAAAAAATGTCCTAGAATTTTCTGAAATAGCAATAGCATTTGCATGTCTATAACTATTCTGTTCATGACCTGTTATCAACTAGACATTTAAACATCAAAGAAAAAAAACTACCTCAAGACCAGCAAACCACACCTGTGCCTGTACCCATTCCCTCCTTCAAACTGCCCTTTTAGAACTTTTCTGTTCACAATCAGAGGGCTCAAAACATGTTCCCATATAGGAACAGGCTCTCAATTACTATTATTTTCTGAGTTTAAAACATTTACAAATCAAGTCATATTACTTAATCTCAGGAAAACTGTACATCCACAAAGGTTGCAAATTATTCCCCAATATTTCCAACATTTCCAGTTGAAGTCACATACTCATCTATTTGATCTTTTTTCTGACAAAAAAAGACTTGTAAAAGAACTCATAAATTTTACCACTTCAGCAAAAAACAATTTTGTGAACCAGTTGGGAAAGCAAATGCGTGTCATTCTTAAAAGTACATGAATTTAAAAACTCTTATGTCCAAGAAATTTATCAATCACAATGTAACAATTTCAAGTGAGTTTCCAAGGACTCCTCGAATTCAAGGAGACCACAGGAACCCTGTATACCCATTACAGTCGACTACGGATGAGTTGATGTCGTCAGGGGACTGAAAAAAAGATAAACTCAACCACAAAGTTCAGCATAACCGTTGGGACCCGAGAAAAAGATCAACTAATGCGTAGACCAACCAGGGCTGGATTCTGCTCGGTTAATCGAAGGCTTGTAAAGCAGCGGAAGTCTTGCGCTAGAGTCTTGCGAGCAGGCTTGTGGTTTGATTTGCCTCCCGCTCGCTACCGGAGGGAACTTCCGGTGAGTTGTGACTCGCGGACAGTCCTGCTGTACTGTGTCGTGATGTCGCGAACTCTCGTGGCAGTGGGTTCAGTACATATTATAGATTCTCTGGTTATTTGCGCTGAGAGGCTTGCACCAAAAGTGCAAGATCGGTTGGGTTTTTTTCATAGTTCGGTTGTAAAAAACAAAAAGCTCTATTCAATGCACTAAAAAATTAATATTAGATCGGCTATTCTTATGATGTTAAGGCCTGTTTATTTTTAATGTGCACGAGCCAAGCGCTTCATCGTCGCACGCAAAAGACCTCAGTTCGATTCCCGTATGGGGAGAAATTTTTACTGAGAACCTCCGTCTTTCTGCTGGGGAGTTGTTCCCTCTCAGCCCAGGTTGGCCCTGACATTGGGTTGAAGTAGGCCTAGCCCGTCTCCTAAATGTTCTGTATTATGTCACTGTGAGTGTAACACATCTACAAAATAGGTTACATACATACGATACAAAAGCCAATCACAACGACCCCTGGAGTTCTCCATTCTAGGGTAATCTAAGTCAACTTATTCTTATTACTACCAGAAACCTTGGTCTCTGTTACTACAATACCACGCTCCCTCTCACTTATCCATTCGCTTAGCTGATCAACGGCGGGAAGTTAAAAATAACTTCAGCTCTCTACGCCTTGCACCAAAACAAGCCCAGCCTCTCCCTTCCTCCACGGTTCAAAGTTCACACAGCGCACAGTACTGTCTTGCTGTTTGAACACATCGGACTGTCTTGTCGCCATCAAGACGGTCCTACGCCATCGAGCCCGTGCCGCTCGCTCGGTGTATCGAGACTCGAGACAGTACAAGTCAGCAGGTCAGGTTTGGAGCTTGTCCTGGGGCAAATCTGTAAGCCTAGCGCAAATCAGTACTGTGTGAATTGTGGGGCCTGTGGCAGCGGACGGGACTTGAGGCTTGCGCAAGCCTCGATTAATCGAGTAAACTACAGCGCCACGCCGCGCAGTGACTCTGTGGGCGAGATCTCTCACTCTCCCCCCCTCTCTTTTTCTGACGTAAGTGGCTTCGCGGATTGCAAGCAGGGTGGGGATGATGAGGGGGCCTGACACGAGTGGCTTCGCGGATTGCTAGTTGCTGTGGACTTGAAGTTTAGACTAGACAAAGGAGGTTACAGTTTGCGCTAGACTCAACTTATCATGCTGGTGATTTGATTTGATGATTTGACCTACTGATTTGAGGCTTGTGACTTGAACTAGGGGCTTGTGAGCACGAGCAGGTTTGCTACCGGGGTACAGTCCTAAGACCAACTCAAGCCAGTTATATCACAAATATTCGTAAAATTCACTCCCGCAACTTACGGGCGTTTGTTTATTGAGGAAAGACTCTGGCACATACAGCGTCCTTGGACTGTAGTCCGGATCAGACTTCGGCTTTCTATTTCTGTCCCTGCACAGACAAAAACCATTGTTTAGAACAGGACAAGATGAGACAAGATGGGCACTGATACTTGGGGTGTTCACTAAAGTATCAACAGATTAGAAAACAAATGAGGTCATCTTAAAAATAATAAAACTTCAAAAGGTTCAATAAATCAGGATTACAAGTGACACAATGTTATAAAAAAACAACCAATTAAAAAAACAACTATTTGGCTACTATCTATAGACATGCATGTGAGCCTCAACCAGATTGTCTGAAAATTTTGCGCAATTCCCCCCCCCCCCCATAAGAGTTTTTGTGGGTGTCATAAGGAAGGACTTCCGAGTAACGAGCGACCACCCCAACAAACACAATAAAGAAGAGACCTAACCCTACCCCAAAAAAGAACCTGCAACGAGCCTCAAGTGAAAAGGCCAGCACAAGTCTAAAATATTAAAAAATTTTAAAATTAAAAAACCACACTCCCATAACAAACAAGGCATTACAAGGAGCATAATATAATGGCCTACATCTACATTATTGCTAGATCTATAATAATAGGGTTTTATACAATAACACAATAGAATTGAAATATGAATCCTCCATATAGATCTAGTAATCTAAATAAATCTAGACCTAGATCTTGTAGAACAAGTGAATAGGATCTAGGAATAGGCCTTGAACTAGAAATCCGCATCCAATTCCGAACAGAGGGGCTCAGCTGAGTCTAGATTCTAAATAAATAAATAATTCACGCACCTGATGAAATGCTTTTTACCAACATTAATATTACAGCACAACCTATGATATGGTTTGACACAATAGAATTGGAATATGAATCCTCCATTGAGGTCTATAATGATCTATATAAATCTAGATTTAGATCTAGATTCTATTAGAACAAGTGAGTCGGACTTGAATGAATCGACACGATCTGAACAATTGAATTTGTCAACAAAACGAAATTCAAAATGGCCGCTCGAGCACGAAACTGAAAGTAGATAATTTAGGTCGTCATCCTTTTTCGTATTCGCATTTCTACTCAGGTTCAGACAATTATGTCGGAAACGCCGACGCCAGCACGAAGACGAAAGTGCCGACAAAGCCGACGGGAGAAAAAGGGGAACGCTGGCAGTCGGCCAGGCCTCGCACTTCGCACACTGACTGATACAGGTGGGCCTAGCGATAGCATCGGCCGGCTCGCGGGTCGGGTCACGATTGTCGGATTTCAGGCAATTGTCGGCAAACATGCAGGTCTATATCTACCAATCAAATTACACGTGAATTGCTGCATTGAACTTGCTATCTTTTAAATTACAAAAATAAAATGGCAAGCAATTTCACCTGTGCTTTGTGAAGTATCAATAAATAAAAACGGAAAACTGAATTCCTATTCATTT